CAAAATTACAACGAATAGTGGGGGGTAATTTTGATAAAAGATGATAACATAAAATGAAGTCCCACGACTCGACAGGTAACTTCAATTCTTTTAATATTTTTAAATTTTCACATAGTGAGTCTAAAATTCGCCTTAATTCCATTGGCGTTTTGTTATTAAAAGAAATATTTAATATTTCTTTCCAACACGAAAAAGCCAATTCGCGATCGTTGTTATATCTTAATACTAATGTTTCAAAAGCCTGTCGATAAAATATCCCTTGCACAGGGTACGTACGTATCAACGCGTGAGCGTCGCCCGATAAGCTATTCATTAGATAATACATACGCTCGGTGTCGCTCAATGACTCGTTCCGATCGACAAGAGAACCAAATATGTCGTAGAATTCCGGCCATTCCTTAATGAGCCCCGAAAACTTAGGGATAGTTATTTTTGGTAATTTTATATTAGTGGATTTAAAACGTTCGACACTAGTACTTCGTGACATAATATTTTCTGACCTTTTAAACTTGTTGTAAATACGAATTAAAGAATAATACGTTTTATCGAACCGTTCCTGTATTTCGTCCTCGTCCGATACTGAATCACTATCTACTAACGAAATAATGTCACTATGAATAATATTAAAATCGTCGTATAATTTATTTACGATCGAATACTGTGCGAAAAAAGAATCGATCACATCGGGGTCGTCGGAGATTTCTTCTGCCGTAGTATATATTTTGTTTATTCTTTTTATAATTAACGTACGTTTTCGCCTTAAGACTGGTAAATAATTAATATTAGGACCCTCATCAATCGATTTACGAGCCTTAACAACGCTTTTTAATCGTCTTTTAGTGTTAAACGACATCTTTAAAGATTTCGTTCAGCAAAACAGTTACTAAAAATGAGGGTGGCGACAAAAAATAAAAAATAAAAATTAGGGTAGATACTAAATAAATATAGATTAACCGTAATATTAAGCTTAATCGTTTAATTATTACAAATTTCGACTTGTTTACCGAATTAAATGATAGATTTAATAATAATAATAGAAGGATCCCGGGTTTCGGCACCAAAATAATGTGCGGTTTGCACACTAGGGAAAAAAACGTGAGCTCAATCGCCAAGATCGAATACTGAAAGTCTTACCAGATTCACAGGTTTTGAGGCAGCTTCCAGCATCCACACACAAACACACACCAAAATAACGATTATCAGGTTTTAGATAAACACACATACGACTTAATATCTTGTGGAGTTAATGTCACGGTATCTTGAGGTAGAATGAGGCTTCTGCTTTCGGCCACCACAGCACCCGATAGGCTAGAAGATTC